AAAACAACAAAAAATAAACAAGCAGCTTCTCCTGAGATTACCCAGTAATTCTTTCCCATTATAATTCTGATTATGAAATCTGAGTTCAGTTTTCAGGCTTCTGATCATTCATCACGTCACTGCAGAAAACAATAAGATGGGAGAAGAAACAGGAGATGGTTCAAATGTATGGTGGTTTTTTTTTCCTGACCTTCCAAATGTAGGATGTGACTGTTTTGTGAAAGACAAAGAATGAGCTGGGTGAGGGACCTAAAATGACATCATATATCCCCTTAGCATCCTATGTATTTTTTCTAATATTTCTAACGTTTCCAATTGCAGTAAATTTACCTCTGTTGTTTTTTTTGTGTGTGTGTACGTTTGCTTGGGGTTTCTTATTAGATATTACATAAAACCATATTACCTTTCTTAGTTCTATTTGTTTTTTCTGCAAATACCATTTCATGCCTGCTTTACTCAATACCCTAGCTGCTGGCTTGTGAAATGTAAGCAGTACGCTCCCAGCTTCTGTGTACGGCACCTTTTAAAAATGTGGGAGAAAGTCAGACCTTTGTTAAATACACAAATGTGTAAGGTAGGGCAATTAAATTTTTCCACACTTGCTGGTACTTTTTTGTGTAAGTCTTTTAAGACCTTTGGCTACAGCAGTGGGGAACTCTTGGCAGGATCTGGTTCACAGACACAGGTTATTGACAGCTTAGCAGGTATTTGTTATCATCATATGTAAAATGAGACCCACCACTGAGGAAAGACTGAAACAAGAGTATTTTTTTCACCTTATCTGAGATTAGTATTTGTATTTTGGTGATCTATAGTCCATTTCATATTTCAAACCAAAAGTCGTGACACTGAACCTCTGTCACACTCCCATATTCATTACCTTTACTGAAGCAGAGCTGGCTCTGCTCCTACCATCTTGTCTCGCTTTAGGCATCGGAGCAAGTGAAGAACTCTGTACAAGTAGAAAATCATCCAGACCCATATAATCTGCTTAAATGGCACATGTATTGAACTGTCTTCATGATTGGCTAGGATTAATATCCTGCCTCCTCATTGAATCTAACCAGCATAGGCACTGTTGTCACCCATGTACTGATCTCCACTGCATGGTGGCACCTAAGTGGGAACAAATTAAAAGGGAAATGGGGTGTTCTTCAATATTAGTTGTGAAGAGGCAGCACAGGTAGAACAAAGACAGTAATATTAACTTACCAGCCTAGGATGAAGGCAAAATAAGAAAAATACTGATTTTTTTTTTTTAACATCAATAGAATCAGTAATGCATCACTTCCTTACAAGAAATGATCCATCCCCCTCCCTTCTAATACTGTCACTTTTTTTTGTAATGAGGTTTTATTAGATAACCTATGTTCTGTAAATCACGTTTGCAATATTATATCCCAGACTTCTCAATAGACATTGAATTCTCTTCTCGTTAAGAATACTTGTTAAATTATTTATTTCTATTTGAAAAAAATCACTTCACAGTTGAGTAAGAATTGGAAGGGAACTTGATATTTAAAATAGAATTAGGGATATACAAATGACATTTGCAATCCTTGGTTAAGTTTTCTTCCTTGTCATACAAACCATTCTTCTTAAATCTAGGCTTAAATCTTTCTCATTTAGGACTTAATGCCAAAGTCCATTGGTGAGACTGTCAAGACACACGTCATAACCAACTGAAATGGGAGATCAGCAGCCTTTAAAGAATACGGAGCAAGCCAACATCAGATTCTGGAAGTCTTCAGTTAACTAATTCTGTGAAAGAATGTGATGCTCTGGTTTGTGCCATACCAGTGCACACTGGAGTTCAAGTACCATGCAGTATCAATCATTTAAATACGTGTCACAAAGCAAAAAGTACAGGAATTTCATATTGAAACTGTCCAAAGTTCTTATATTAATTCACTTTTGGATGTTTTATCCCCTGTTCTCTTCTTTGCAGTCAGTCCTCACTGACCATAGGAACACCTTTACCTTGAAGGCAAATACCACCAGAAACCTGTGCACAGTTTTGAACCTGAGTTTCCCAGCTTCTTAATTGCTTTGGCAAAGTTTTTTATACAATATAGAGCTGATTTCCTGTGAAAATGATTATTCTTATTGGGTTTAATTCTGTCTCTGAGGACTTAATTGAACAGCAATTCTTTTTTCTGTTTGCGTTTTCATCAACAATATCTCATCAGTTCATATTAAATACAGGTGTATTTAATGACCCCTTTTAGTTGAAGGTCTTAAACTGTAGAGAATAAAAGGGTGATTAACTGGTCTGTGTTATTCACACAGTTTGAGACTGTATGCCTCTTTCTTATTTGAACCAACACACGGAACTAATCTTTCTTCATGTTGCCAGGTGTGGAAATGGACAGCAGGTCCTCGAGAAGTTTCACTCTACACAAATTGTTCTACTTGCAGCAGGAGTGAGAGTCATAGAAGCCAAACTCAGTATTTTATTTCATGGACCAAGTGAGGTTTGTTCCTATCAAGAGAATTAATACCTTTAGCTATTTTTCTGTAAACTTTCAGTAGAGAACAGGTGCTGTAGTTGTTTTGGGTTTTTTTACCCAAATGTAAGCAGTAAATTGTAGTGGTTTTAGCTGCCTGTGATTAACAGTCTTTGAATTCCTTTGCATCTATTATGATTTCACAGGTTATCTGAAGTTGATTAGTTTTCTCATTAACGTGTAATACCTTTAGCTATTTTTATTATGTTTGGTCAAATATTTTTGCCTGGCTGCTAAACCTCCAGTTTCTAGTCCCCTTTGAATAGCCGTCAGACCTCTGTGAACTATTCTGCTCAAAATAACAGCATTTGTAATAGTAGAGGAAAGAACAGCTTTTGAAAGAACGACATCAGATGGATTTTTTGGGGGCTTACAGCTTTAAAATAATTGTCGCGGTTTAAGCCCAGCCATGTAGTCTCTCTCTCACTCCCCCTGCCTTCCTCCTCCCATTCCCAGAGGGATGGGGAGGAGAACTCCCATGGGTTGAGATAAGAACAGTCCAGTAACTAAGGTATAACACAAACCACTGCTGCTACCACCAATAATAATAATGATAAGGGAAATAACAAGGGAAGAGAATACAACCACTCACAACCCACCGAACGATACCCAGCCTGACCAAGCAGTGATCTAGTGCTTCCAGGTAAAGAATAAGATAAGAAACAGAAATGAGGGTGCAATTACAGAGTGTCATTCTGGGCAGTGATTGTTAATGATTCCAATAGCATGGTAGGATGCAAGGGCCCACAGTGGCAAAAAAAAAAAGCATGCCATTTAAATTTAAATCTGTATTTGCACATGATATTAACTCTTACTCCAGGCTTCTCTAGGACTCTGGCATGTCTTAAAACATTGTATTGAACTGAGAGCCCAGCTGTGATGATAAATTGCCATATAAGCCAGAGAGTGTCAGCAAGGCATATTGAAAAGTACAGTGTTCTTGGAGTACGTGAGTTAACATAGTAAAAAAACATGAAATAATGAGCGCAAACTATTTTGCATAACAAACATAGCTTTGTGTAATTAGAAAGGCCCGGCCTCTTTGTCCTCACTATTAAGAAGCATGGAAGGAGCTACAAACCAATCACAGCTGACCAGCTGTTGTGGTTTAAACCCTAGCCAAACAGCTTGTTCACTCACTCCCAGTGAGTGGTGCTGGGCTGAAAGCAATCAAGGCTCGCCCCCCGGGGCTCTCCCCTTCCCCGCTCCTGGAGGGATGGGGAGGAGGAATGAAAGAGTGCAACTCCTACGGGTTGAGGCAAGAACATTCCAGCAACCAATGTACAACACAAATCACCACCGCTACCACCAACGACAACAATGATAAGGGAAAATAACAAGGGAAGAGAATACAATTCCACCCACCGAGAAATGAGTCTGACCCAGAAGCCCCTGTCCTTCTGGGTAACTCCCACTTACCCCCCACCCCGGGCATGACGTGCTGTGGTATGGAATACCTCTTTGGCTAGCCTGGGTCAGGCGCCCCGTCTCTGCTTCCTCCCAGCTTCCCCTCCTCCCTGGCAGAGCATGAGCCTCACAAAGTCCTTGGTCAGGGTAAACATCACTTAGCAACAACCGAAAACATCGGTATCACCAGCACTGTTCCCAGGCTGGAAGTCAAAACACAGCGGGGCACCAGCTACCAAGAAGGAGAAAAACTGACTGCTACTGCTAAACCCAGGACACCAGCAAATTCTAATTATGAGAAATTCATAATTCTAATTCTTGTGCATTTGGGCCCTACACTTCTGACCTTTCTTATCAGATTTATGTAGGAGTAGTCATACAACAAGTTTTTTTCTCTAGGAGAAGTGGAGTAACTTGCTTGGAGCTATTCTTAAGTGGATTTGATGCTACGATCACTAACACCTGAGACTCAGAGACAGAAGAGGTCAAGATACGGATGAAATCACAAGTAAACAACTGTGCAGGAGAACAATCTGTCATGATTTTAAAAGAAAGCAGGTTAGTTGAATGTGAACTTTACAAAATGGACATGGTGGATCAAATTAAGGGGAAATAATCTCCAGCTAAAAAGGGCAGTGCAGGAGGGAGGTGGTTGAGGGAGAGGTCAAACAAAGACCACTGATCTGAAGAGCCAAACAAGGGAGCAAAGTGGGGAGAATGTGATGTCAACAGAGTAGAAAGGTGAAAATAATACGTAACTTCAATTTATGAATTCTTATGCTGAAAGTAACATGACCATGGATATTCATAGTATGGATTTGTGCGCAGCTCTTGAGAGAAACGGGGAGTCAGCAGGTTGCTCTCCCTCACCAGGTTAGTCCTCAGACAGCTTTCCAGGGTGGCTCTAAGATAATATCTAAAGACTGGATTATTATTATTCACTACTATTCACTGGACTATTATCTAATATGGGAAGAATAGCAAAAAATATGTCATCTGTTACCCGCTAGATATTAGTATCCACTGATCCCCAGAATAAATGTGGATGTCCTTCTCTTTGGCACTGTATATATCTGTATCAACAAGATGGTGTCCACCTCAGACAGTGTTTTGAGTATAATATGTGTGAAAAACAGTAGAGACAACAAAATGAAAAACATAAGCATCTTGTCTTAGAGCGCATAGGATCATATTATAATTGTGAAATATTTTCATGCAAACATCTTACCTGAAGATTACTGAAAATTATTCTTCTCGGCTTCACTGATCTGCAGGATTGTGGTGTGAGTTCAGATTTCTAGACTGGGGTGAGTGCTGGGTGTCTTACACCTGTGGGATGTATGGGTGGGCTCTCACTGATGGAGAACCAGGATCCATAGCAGAAGTGTATGTCTAACAGCAAGTGGGATGCAGATGTGCTGTGTCAACCACCCAGCTGTGTCAAGTGCAAGAACCACAACAGAAAATAGCATAACATTGTGAGGATTAATGAAGTTTCTAACTAAAGATGGACGGACCTGAAGGATTTTAAGCTTCTGTGTTACCCACCAGCTGCTGTGTGCTCCCAGAGGGTATGGAGCTGAACCAGGACAGAGCTTCAGGCATGGCTTCACAGAGGCTACAGGGGTTTCCCAGCAGCTTACATGAGGCCAGCAGGCAGGATGAGGTCTTGTCCACCCGTGCTTTTCCACCACCTCTGCCACTGGGGATTTTCCTGAAAAGAAGAGGGATTATATACTTCAAATATATCGTATTTCTTCACTTAAAAATAAAGGTGTAATGCAGCTGCTTTGCTGTTCTGTAGTTCTGGCTAGCACTACATGTTTTTATATCCCATCCTAACATGGTAAAAAAGGTATGTATATGAAAACAAAGCAATATAGAGGTTTTTACTATGAGTTGTTAAAATTAGAAACTTTAAATAATCATAGCTGCTTCTGCTTCACAGAAATTTATAACACCTATTTTCCTTGTTTTTCTTATTACCTTTAGAAATTTTCTTGTTTTCTTTCTTTGTTTCCCTCTTTATTTTGTATGTCACAAAGCAGTAACCTCTCTATTGCTGTATCTCTTTTTGTCTCTTTTCTTATGGGGTAGAAAAGAAAATGGAGAAAAGATATCTGGAAAGCAAAAAAATCTTTTGAACATCATGCATTCTACTGATCCCAGTAGAACAATAACAAAAAAATAATCGGAAAATGTGCCAATTCTGAGCTGTGACACGGTCTTCATTCACAGAATCACAGAATCCTAAGGGTTGGAAGGGACCTCAAAAGATCATCTAGTCCAACCCTCCTGCAAGAGCAGGGTAACCTAGAGTACATCGCACAGGAACTGTCCAGGCGGGCCTTGAATATCTCCAACGTAGGAGACTCCACAACCCCCCTGGGCAACCTGTTCTAGTGATCTGTCACTCTCACAGTAAAGAAATTTTTCCTGATGTTCACATGGAACCTCCTATGCTCCAGTTTACACCCATTGCCCCTTGTCCTATCACTGGACATCACTGAAAAAAACCTAGCTCCATCATCCTGACGCTCACCCTTTACATATTTGTAAACATTGATGAGGTCACCCCTCAGTCTCCTCTTCTCCAAGCTAAAGAGACCCAGCTCCCTCAGCCTCTCCTCATAAGAGAGATGTTCCATTCCCTTAATCATCTTTGTAGCTCTGCGCTGGACTCTTTCAAGCAATTCCCTGTCCTTCTTGAACTGTGGGGCCCAGAACTGGACACAGTATTCCAGATGCAGCTTCACCAAGGCAGAGTAGAGGGGGAGGAGAATCTTTCTTGACCTACTAACCACACCCTTTCTAATGCACCCTAGGATGCCATTGGCCTTCTTGCCCACAAGGGCACATTGCTGGCTCATGGTCATCCTCCTATCCACCAGGACCCCCAGGTCCCTTTCCCCTTCACTACTGTCCAGCAGGTCAGCCCCCAACCTGTACTGGTACATGGGGTTGTTCTTCCCCAGATGCAAGACTCTACACTTGCCCTTGTTGAATTTCATCAAGTTCCTCTCCGCCCAACTCTCCAACCTGTCCAGGTCTCGCTGAATGGCAACACAGCCTTCTGGTGTGTCAGCCACTCCTCCCAGTTTAGTATCATCAGCAAACTTGCTGAGGGTACACTCAGTTCCCTCATCCAGGTTGTTGATGAAAATATTAAACAGCACTGGTGCCAGCACCGACCCCTGAGGGACTCCACTAGTCACAGACCTCCAGCTAGATTCTGCCTCATTGACCACAACTCTCTGCCTTCTTCCTTCCAACCAGTTCTTGATCCACCTCACTACCTACCATCAAGCCCACACTTCCTTAGCTTATCTATGAGGATGCTGTGGGAGACAGTATCAAATGCCTTACTGAAATCAAGAAAAACCACATCTACCGCTCTACCATCATCCATCCACCTAGTTACTTGCTCATAGAAGGCTATAAGGTTGGTCAAACATGACTTCCCCTTGCTAAAGCCATGTTGGCTGCTCTTAATGACCCCCTCATCCTTGATATGTCTAGAAAATTAAAAAACATAGATAGGCCTACTACCTCTTTTTTTAGCAAAGCTGAAACTTAGAGAATGTGTTTGGAACTCTTACGTTTCAGGGACAGCTACAGTTTTCAAAGCCCTTGTCTCTCAGGGATTTATGCCTGAACCTAATTCACAATCTGGTTCTATTTTTGCAAAAGGACTAGAGAAATTTTAGATTTTAAGTTTGATGATTTGCACCCTGATATTTTTATTCAAAGAGCATCAATTGCTTCAAGTTTCTGAACCTGACAGAACAACTGAGTATTTTTATTTTAAACACAAATAGGGAAAAGCTGTTTTTTAACATTTCTATTTTCTTGTCCATAAGGCATGTAAAATCAACACATCTGTAGAAATGCAAATAACTTACATGTAAGGACAAGATGAAATTTAGACTTCTCAGCCAGATTATATTTGTTCACCAGTGTTCACATATTGTCTCATCAACACATGTAGGCACTCCTATTTTTGAAAAGCCTCATTTATTACTGCTACAGTGTTGAAGCTAAACTGCTTTTTCTAAAAAATGTTCCTTAGATTGACAGATTCTGTTAACTAACCCCCCCCCCCCAAAAGCCACAAAACAGCGAACACCCCCAACACCTCTCTGTGCCTGCTGTGCAAGAAGCCACAAAAACTTTAAATGTATGATAAAAATGTAGCTGTTCATCAGTTGGCTTATGGACTTAAATTCACTTCTAATTGTACATTTTTAAGGTTTCATAGGTCTTTCACTGTCTTTATGTTTTGGTTTGTATTATAGGCAGCATTTAGGGTAGACAGTGGCATTAATATTTATTTTTAATATTGAATTAATCATGGTTAAACTTGCAATACATCCCTGCCACAGCGAGGTGCATAGATGTCCTGGGTTCAGCAGTAGCAGTCATTTTTCTCCTTCTTAGTAGCTGGTGCAGTGCTGTGGTTTTGACTTTCAGCCTGAGGACAACGTTGATAACACCGATGTTTTTAGTTGTTGCTAAGTAATGTTTACTCTGACCAAGGACTTTCTGAGTCTCATGCTCTGCAAGGGAGGAGGGGAAGCCGGGAGGAAGCAGAGACAGGACACCTGACCCAGGCTAGCCAAAGAGGTATTCCATACCACAGCATGTCATGCCCAGGATTTAGAACTGGAGGCAGTTACCCGGAAGGGATAGATCACTGCTCAGTGAGGCCGGGTATCAGTCGGCAGGTGGTGAGTGGTTGTATTCTCTTCCCTTGTTATTTCCCTTATCATTATTATTATTGGTGGTAGCGGTAGTGATCTGTGTTATACCTTAGTTACTGGACTGTTCTTATCTCAACCCATGGGAGTTACATTCTTTCTATTCTCCTCCCCATCCCTCCGGTAGCAGGGTGGGGGGGAAGAAGGGGGGAGGAGCTGCGTGGTACTGGGTTTAAACCACGACAATAAGGATGGCACCAGGTGAGTTTTATTTTAATCTCTTTCTGATTAGGGGCTGATTGCCACTGTTCAATTACTGCCATAGTCTGGTTCCAGAATAAACTTGAATTCTGGTGCTCTGAAATGATCCTCTTTGGGAAACAGCTGCCCTTTTCCCACATTTGGGGGTGTTTTGCAGCAAAGGGAGTTTCTCCAGCTCTTCATCCCACATCCTTTCCTTCTGATTCCTTTGGGCAGTTGGTTGACATGCCCAACACCATCTGTCTGAAAACAGGCTAGAACAAAGAGAGTGGTACATTTCAGATATTCAATAGTATGCGTCTATCATTAGATATTGGAGTTACATATGAAGTTCGTTATTAACATTGAAGGTTTCTGGTTTAGCAAAAATTTAGTTATTCAGTAGACACATTTCATTTCCTGTTGGTTTTGTAATCAGCTGTTTTTTTCATAAGAAGAATTTCCTTTTATTTTTTTCCACCATGTATCTTCTCTAATTAACCAATGTACATATTTATCTTACAGACAAATGCATTATATATTTCATCACTGAGTGGCTTCCAGAAATTAATTTTCATATCTTGTTTTCATTAATCAACAGAACACCTCTATAAATCTTCACTCACTATAAGGCATTTTTTTAAAAACAGAGGTTTATTTTCGTTCTGATGTTCTCTAATCAGCCCTGTCAGAAACACTGTACCCTTTTTTCTCTAAATTATTAGCTTACTAAAAATTTAAACCACTATTTATAAGCAAGAGAGAATCTGCATATTATATTTAAAGTCATTGCAAGATTGATGAGCATTCGTAACTGAAAATCCTGGCAGAAGAATGATTTCTTCACAGCAGCCCGTGTAATTAAGGGATGCATTAATATTGTTACAAATATTACTCCTTACTCTCTTCTTCCAGTAACTTCAGATGGATCACAGTTTACAAGACTGTATTTCTTTCATAATGGCACAGACAAGTGAGTCAGTTATAAGAAACCACAAACCACAGGGCTCAAGTAGTCAGGCCAAGAACTTAGACACATGAATGGGGTACAGAGGTGTATTTTCTATCTACCTTTTGCTCTAGCAGCGACTGAAGGGACGGATTCATCAGTAGGGAAATAAAGATTTTGCACAGTGCTGTGCACCTCTGCACTTTCCACAGGTCAGTCACTCCAAAAGGAGAAAAATACTTTTTGCAGCAGTGGGAGAGATTTCTCCCTTTGGCCATGCTCCACTAAAACTTCAGTGCAGTCAGATGCACCTGACTGCTGAGCAGCAGCTGATCTGAAATGCCCTGAATCACAGCTGCTTTATTTTGTACCAGCCCTGAGAACAAATGTTGGTCTCGTGTTTAGTTAATAATGGCCCGTGTGATTCCTCTGGG